ATTTTCTTTTAGGCATTGTTATATAGTCACATATACTCAATGATTACAATCTCATTCTGTATTCCTATATTTTTTCCATTGACTTCCTTCTTAGGACTGTTCTTTGGTGTTTTGTCATTGTTTCAGAATATCACCCTCAGTTCTTACTAAACAAAGTAGCAATAATTACCCAAACAGTCTTGCTTTTTGTTTTTGTTTTTTTTTTTTGTTTTTTTTTTTTTTTGGTTTTTCGAGACAGGGTTTCTCTGTGTAGCTTTGCGCCTTTCCTGGTACTCGCTTTGGAGACCAGGCTGGCTTGCTTTTAAGCACAGAAGACAGAACCAAACGGCCCTTGGGAGTCTGGCAGCACACAGGAGAAAGCCGTGCCACTGTGAGGCAGAGCACTGTGCGCATCTACCTGACAACCAGGGCAAGGTGGGCCCTCAGTCCTGCACAGTTTGCATGCCCATAAATCTGTGCTTGATTCCGCAGTAGGTTTTGATGATTTGCTTGCTTTGTGGTTACCAGGCACCTCGTGATAGAAGAAAATATAAAAGCCATGTTGGCTTTGGGGTCAGTCTTGGGGTCAGGCAAAACCATCTGCTGATGCTTTATTGCTTCTGTATGGTTTGATGTCTCCTCTCATACAGAAAGATTCAAGAGAAAGCCAAGATAAACACCCAAGTGCACATGGCCCTCAAGTAGGGCTGACTCCTTTCCCAGATGTGAACTTTCAGTTTTCTGGGAATCTCACAAACAAGATTCTAAACTTTACTTACAGTAAAATGTGTCTTAACTTCCTTGTGCAACCCCTGTGACCGATGGTTTTACCTTACCAGCTGTAATCCTGTCCAGTGTACCTTGGGAGCTAGCCTATGACCTCGTTTACCAAAAAGGAAAAAAATAGAAAGGGCCTGAGAAAGTGGCGAGGTGGTGGTTAAGAACACTTGCTGCTCTTGCAAAGGAGCTGGGCTTGGTTCCCAGCACTCACTTGATAGTTCCCAGCATCCACATGATGGTTAACATCAGCTCTAACTTCAGTTCCAGGGGATCTGACACCCACTTCTGGCCTCCTCAGGCACCAGGCACACATACATACAGGCAAACACACACATATAAAAAATAAAAACAAGTAAGTACTCTTTAAAATAGTGGGAAAGGTCTTCCGAAACCCTTGGAAGGATGTAACGAGAAGCCACCAAAACAGTATATCACTTGAGCACAATTCTCTCAGGAGAAGCCTGTGCTCTCACACTTGGCTGCCCCATCCCTTTCCTAAGAACTCCTATCCCCACCTTAGACACACATGCAAAAGCTGTTTCCTGATAAAGTCCCCACCCAGCCCTGCTTCCTCCTGGCTCCTCGTGAAATTCTTTCCTGGGACATAGTCAGGAATCTGACTTCACAGTAGAGGTCTCCGACGAGAACTGTTACAGGCCCCGTGTGGAGCTGTGCCTCTCGTTCTGCCACTGGCACTCCCACGTGGGACTCTCCAGGGAGCTCCCAGGCTTTCAAACCCACACTGGGACTGCCTAAGCACTTAGCCTCATGTCTGAGCAGCGACCGCTTCTCTGCCTCTTCTGCACGCAGACGGCCATTGCTGACTACCTAGCCAATCTGAAAAATTCTCCCTTTATGGCCAACATTCTGTTGGTTCTGATCCTCTAGAACACCATGCCCAACACAGTCAGACTATAAAACTAAAATATGTGCCCACAGATCCAGATATTCTGTCCCCAGAGAACCTACCCCACCTGTACCCAGAGCTAGCTGTCAACAATGGGACTGTTGGAAATAAGAATGCCCTCCTCTAAGGGAGGAAAAACTGCGGTCGGGATATACTATACGAGAGAAGAATAAATTAATAAAAAAAGAGAGAATGCCTTCCTCTCAGAACACAGTGTCAAAGTTGCAGCTGAAATATGACACTGGAATGCTGAGGGGGAAGTGATGTCATGTGGTTAGATGGTGGAAGGGAAGGGGATCCCCAAGACATGCCCCAAGAGGCAGAAGACCAGGGACAGAACCTTGGAGTCCTTTGTCCTGGGAACAAACAGGTAAGCCCTTCTCTGCAAGGCCAGTAGGCAGGTACTGGCAGTGACTGCAGCTGCAGGGAGCCGAGTGGGCTGGGCCAAGGAGTTTGTCTGCAAGGCACTCCATCTCCTGTTACTCCAGTGAAGATTTCTCTGGCAGCTGAGCCGCTTTCCCCAAACATTTTGTAAAACAAGTATCTAGGACTGGGCCACTGGCTCAGTTGGTCATGTGACTGCATAACCCGGGGTTCAATCCCCAGCACTGCATAAACTGATTATAGTGACCTAGCACCCAGGAGGTGGAGGCAGGAGGGTCAGAAGTGTAATGTCATCCTTGGCTATATACGGAATCTAAGCTGAGCCTGGGCTACATGAGGCTCTATCTCAAAAATAAACAAACAAACAAATCCTAAATCTCCACACCTGCACACAATTTGAACTGTGTAGTGGGCACACACCCATACAACTGCTAGACTGTAATTAGTGGTTTGCTCTGCTTGCCAGCTCACAGTGTGTCTACCCACCCTGTCCTTCTACCCATGTATATATGTGCACCACATGCATGCAGTGCCTACAGAAGCCAGAAGAGGGCATTAAATCACCAGAAGCCAGAGTTACTGGTAGTTGTGAGCCACTATGTTGGTGCTAGGAAGGGATCCAGGTCATCTGCAAAGGCAACCAGTACTCTTAACTACTGAGCCATCTCTCCAGCCTGTAGCCTGTATTTTTAATTTTAAGGTAAATTTTATACACAGTGAAATGTACATATCTTTAAGTATAACTGTGTACTACTTTGGGGAGGATTTATGTGTGTCAGTGTGGTATGTGTATATGATATATATACACATGTATGTAAAGATATGTATGACTGTTTGAATAAGAATGTCCCCCATGGACTCATATATTTGAATGTGTAGTCACCAAGGAGTAGCACTATTTGAAAGGATTAGAAGGATTAAGAGGTGTGGCCTTGTTGGAGAAAGTGTGTCACTGAGGATGGGCTTTGAGGTTTCATGTCAAGTCCATGCCAAGCTCAAAGTCTCTCTTTCAGCCTATAGATCACGTTATAAATCATAGCTACTTCTCCAGCACCATGCATGCCTACAGCCATACTCCTGATGCCATGCTCCCTGCCATGATGATAATGAACTAAACCTCTAAAACTGTAAGCAAGCCCCCAATGCTTTCTTTAATAAGAGTTGCCTTGGTCATGGTGTCTCTTCACAGCAATAGAACAGTGACTAAGACAATATGCATGCCCATGCATGCACACAGAGACTAGAGGAGAATGTTGAATGTCTATTAGTCTGCCATGTTCCTTTGAGACAGAGTTCACTGAACCTGGAGCTCGGATGGCAGCTGGCAAGCACCAGCCATCCTCCTGTGTCCACCCCGCCCCTTCACCCTCCCACATCTCTGGGGTTACAGGTACTCACACTCTGTCTTTTGTATGGATTCTGGCGGTGTGAACTCAGACCCTCAGCTTACACAGCAAGTGTTCTTACCCACTGAGCCATCTCTCCAGCCCTTGTGCATCTGTTGTGTTTATACTTGTCTTTTCTTAAACAGTTTGAGTTCAGGGACACTGCCCCACTTTCAGTCCACACCTCTTGAGCCCCCTCTGGTATCAAATCAACGTTTGTTCTTATTAATAGCACATGTTATTCAGAGATAGAAGCATTATTGTGATTTGTCCACCACGTGACAATGTGCGTGGGGGACAGAGTGGACATGAGTTGACTTTGTCATGTACCTACCACTCATGGGACAGGGAAGAGCAGACAATCACATGTAAACACTGGAGTTAGTAAGATCGCTGTAGGAGGGTTACACTGTCTGAGGAGCCCACCAAATGGGAAGAAGTTCAGGGAGGTAATCTTTAAGGTCCCTTAAGGAGGGGGACAGCCAAAAAGATTCCTAAATAGCAGAGGATCCCAGAAAGCCTCTCACTTTGACACTGAACCTGTCTGCCTAACTCTGTCACAAGAACAACCCTTCCTCACAGGGAAGGTGAGGATTAATAGAAGTGTGATGTGTGTCCCTGTGGGAAATGCAGGCAGCAAGTGCAGGCCCTGTCTCTCCATTGTATCTGCTGCAGCTATGCATGCTGTTAAATCCTGGATCCTGCTGAGTGGTGCTCTGGGTGCTAGAGATACTGTAAATCCCACGGTGTCTTCCTCTTGGAGTTCACAGTCCAGATGGTGAGACAAAGAACAAAGTGCCCGGAGCTGCAGGGAGACTTTCTAGAAAGGACCTCATGACACTGAGAACAGCATGACTTCTTGCTTGGATATCGGTGTCTGCCGAGGCTTCAAGGAGGGGACGATACCTAAGCTGAGCTCTCAGTCTCTGTCTATCTGTCTCTCTTTCTCTGTGTCTCTCTGTCTCTGTCTCTTGATCATCTGTCTTCCTGCCTCCAGTTCAAACTCAGGGCTTTGTGCGTGTTAGGCAAGTCTTCTAGAAACTCTACCAAGCTACACCCCAGCTCTTAAGCTGAGTCTTAAAAAAACCAATGGGACACCTCCAGATCAGTGCAGCAAGATGCATTTCAGAAGAGAAAACCACTATATAAGAGCAAAGGAAAATGAGTTGCTTGGTCACACATAGGAGAACTATTCACATCAATTTAGGAGGGAAACATGGGAAATTCAAGACAGGGCAAAGGTTGGCTGAAACATGGAGGACTGGAATAATAAGTTAGGAGCCAAACCTTCTCCTGAGAGACACAAAGAGCCAGTGGCATGGTTTGTTGTAAAGATGGCATTAGCACACTCACAAGAGTGAACATTATCAAATAAATGTTAGTGAAGGAATGGGCTGACAGAACACTGCAATTGAAAGTATAGAGTGGTACCACGACTTTGGAAGGTTCTGGAAGTTTCTTATACAGCCAATCATATACCTAGCCCTATGACCCAGAAATTTCATCCCAGGAGAAATGAAAACATATTCACAAATTGACTTGTATAAAACATTTATAAAAAGTATACACACAACTGGAAACTGCTCAGGGGACCACTTGAAAGAAGAATGAATGAACACATTTTGGCATGTTCATACAATGGGAGACTGTGCCCCTGTCAAAAGGATCGGCTGCGGCCCAGACCCTACCAAAACATTATCAGTGATAACTCGTGGGTGAGCATGACTGAGATGCACATGTGTGCTTGAAACTATAGAATAGACTAGACTAATCTATGGTGGGAAAAAGTTAGATCCTATCCCTGCAGTGGGAGCTCAAGGGATACTAGCTGGGAAGGGTTGCAAGAGACTTCTCTGGAGTGATAGTGACATTCTCAGTCTTGACAGGGGGTGGGTTACATGAGCATATGCTTTTGTCAACACTGAACAAGCCACACTTTGCATTTGGTTTTTCTCTCTGGCACTTAACTAATCTGATGTTCTGCAGTATGTCGGTAAATGTCAACCACGCTGTCGTGAGGGTTGCATCACACAGGCTGCACAGTCCCCGGGAATGTTTTATTGGTTCCAGAAAGCTCTCTAGTCTGAGGATAGGTACCAGCTATGTCAGGTGCTGCTGCCAGTCTTACCAGGGGTCTATTCCCACCACACTTTATGTCCGTGTGCCTGCTTTTGTCTCTGGGGAGCTTTGATAAAGGCAACTCATCTTTCATGCTGACCCCACCCATTCTGAACATCATTCGGACTGGACTGTGAGTTTTAAATCCTCCCAGTCTCCAGTTACTTTGAGGTCCAAAGGGTGGTGTCGAATTCCACAGCAGGTGCCTGGCTTTGATTTCCCCAGGATCAGCTCAGTGCGGTGGCAGAGGTGACTAGTATCAGATGAACCCGGATACTGAACAAAGAAAGCCATATGATAGCCATCTCCAAGCTGAAACCAGACTGTTAACAAATATTGAACTCCAGGCTCCAAGCATCGCCAGAGTATAGAGGGAAAGGGCACAGGCATCTGCAGCTTTCTTTGAAACACCTCAACCAGTAGTACTATAGGCAGATGGCAGGGAATGAAGCAAGCAGAGACAGGTATCCATAGCGACCCAGCAGCACCTGATACACTGTTCGAAAAGGTCTGTAGTAAGTTACTAGGGTTAGGAAAGATGGCTCTGGTTAGTGACAAGAAATCAATCTGACAGGCTAGGTGGAAGTCAGGGAGGCCTGTGAAGAATAAATGAGGAGACCTGAGGGAAGGCCTGGGCAGCAGAGGGAAAGAGGAGAGGTAGCCAGAGGCACCATTTGTGGAGATCTGGGGGGACAGAGACAGAGGTGAAGAATGACCAGAAGTCAGGTCTACTCTAGAGAAATGGAACAGTCTCTGACAGAAGCAGCAGAGAGGAATGAAGAGGGATGGGGGTGGGAGAGGCACACCAGAAGAGAGCAGGGGGTCACAGCCAGTGCCCCACTCACCAGTGGTGATCCTGGCTCGCCTTTATCAAGGGTTGACCTCCTGGTTGCCTCGTTCTCCTGGATGACCTGGTGACCGAATGAGTAATTGTTAGCACAGAAACCCCACCCTGTGAAGGGGACCACGAGGGAGGCTCCCCTGTACACCCCTGCTGGCCCCCAGGAGGTCAGGTCAAGCAAACATCAAGATGTTCAAAGCCTTGGGAGGACCCAGGCTGAAGAACAGGTGAGGGAACCCGCTTCACTTGGGCCTCAGAGACTCTGCTGCTGCTGGACACAGCATCCCAAGGTGAGAGACTGCGGTCCTGGTGTTATGGGCTTGGGATATCCTCAAAGCATCGCCGATGCCGGATATCTGGGGGAGGGTTTTCTGGAATCTATGGCACTGCCGGGTGGCACTGTGGCACCATCGGGTGGCATCCAGGCACCGTCAGGTGACACTGTGGCAGTCAGGTGGCAGTGCTTTTCATTCCTACTCTCTCAGTCTTTGTGATGATAACTCAGAGAAAAGCTGGACATGGTGTTCATGTGTTTTCAACAATGTCTCCAACCATTCATTAACTCTCCCTTTGGAGAGGAGAGAGCAAGGGCCCAGAGTGTGGCTCGGTGGTGGAGTGCGGCTCAGACCCAGCTTCTGGGTTCAATCCCCAGCACTGGGGTGAGGGAGGTGTTGGTTGCCAGAGGTCGCTAGCATGCTTCTGCTTGCACTGAAGTGGAGAAAAGCCATTTCCTCTCTCTCTCTTTCTCTAACAAAGGTTCACCCAAACCCCATTCACACATGTCCAGGCACCTGTGTGGGGCTGCACAGATAAAAACAGCAAAAGCAAAGGACCTGGCACCCATCACACCGTAAACACCCACTAAGTCGTGATCGCCACCACTGCCATCACTGTGGCCCTACAGTAACTTTCTGTTGATGGAAAGTGGCGTTCCTCACTTTAGGAAGTGAGACACAATTTCCAACTGGGCGGAGAACATTCAACTTACTCAAGTTTCCCAAGGTGGCTTCATGGGCCAAAACGCATGCTGATAATTGGGAATCTCAGCAGCTGGTAGGTGGGGGTCCTCTGAGGAGGTTGTGGACAGGAAAAGATGGCACCTAAACACAGGTGTCAGCAGACCCTGGCAAGAGGACAAGAGTGCAAGTGTTGGCGTCACACAGACCTGAGTTCAAATCCCGGCTTCCTGTCCTGGTCACTGTGTGACCTTGAATAAGTGTTACTCAGCACCTCTAGGTCTTCATCTATGCAGTGGGGGTCATAACTAAACCAGCAGGCTCAGGCTCAGCCTGTGGCTGGTGAGCACTCAGAGACGGCAGGACCAGTCTGTTCGGCATGCCAGGTACCCCCCCTTCTGTGAATAAGCAACCCCCGAAGTTGTTTGCAAACCCAAATACATGGAAGTTGAACAGGGGGAGATGGGTGCATGTATGTGCTGGGCGTAGGGACCGTCCAGTTTCAGTGGGACTAAAACCTCATAGACCCCCACAGCATCCTGACAGATGGCCTCTCCAGTTAGTCCTCACACTGAGAAGACAGAGTAGTGTGGTTTTACATCAATTCGTGCATGTCTAGTTCACTCGGTCTTGTCCAGAGACCTTAGTCCAGGGGAATGTGTCCCCTGCTATGTCCAAGGCATAAAGAACTCTGCTCACACATAGGGGAGTGCACACATCTGCTGGCTAGCCAGCTCGGCTGAATCTCTCTCTCTCTCTCTCTCTCTCTCTCTCTCTCTCTCTCTCTCTCTCTCTCTCCCCTCCCTCCCTCCCTCCCTCCCTCCCTCCCTCCCTCCCTTCCTCCCTGGATTTTTAAAGAAATAGAGATTTCAGGGAGAGATGCTGCTGCATGTGAACTCCTAAGATCACATAGTGAAGTCTCTCTCCCTGGGCTGTCCTGGGCTGCTGGTGGGCCCCTCCCCGGCTTGCCCTGGGCTGCTGGTGGGCCCTTCCTTGGTCTGCCCTGGGCTGCTGGTGGGCCCTTCCCCGGCCTGCCCTGGCCTGCTGGTGGGCCCCTCCCCGGCCTGCCCTGGGCTGCTGGTGAGCCCTTCCCCGGCCTGCCCTGGCCTGCTGGGGGGCCCTTCCCCGGCCTGCCCTGGCCTGCTGGGGGGCCCTTCCCCGGCCTGCCCTAGGCTGCTGGCGGGCCTTTCCCTAGCCTGCCCTGGAGCAGAGTGGAAGAAGCTGCCCTCAGAGTCTGTCTCCACCAAGGTTAACCAGGGGAAGATGAGGCTAACCTCGGTGTGCTTCCAAACTGAAGCTCTCAATCTGAGTGACTCCTCTGCTCAGAAACATCCTCATCGCAGAGATCCCCCGGATCCTAGGCCCCCAGCACACACAGCCACACCTCTGGGAGTATTCTCAGAAGTCTGGACTTTGCAGACCACTGGGTTTTTTCCTTTTTCCAGCCATGGATGTGCACAGCAATCTCAGCACGTGCAGTATTGATGTCAGGGCTGCTCAGGCTAAGAGTCCCTGTCCTTGGGGCTGTAGAGGTGGCTCAGCTTTTTAGAGCACTGTTGTTCTTGCAGAGGACTAGCACCCATGTGGTAGTTAACAACCACAGGGAACCAAAAGATCCGACGCCCTCTTCTGGCCTCCACAGGCACCAGGCATGCATGAAGTTTGTGTACATGTAGGCAAAACATTCGTACACATAAAACAAAGTAAATAAATTAAAAAAAAAAAATTCCTGGGTCCAGGTCCTGCTCTAAGACAACACCTTAAGCTTTCCAAGCCCATGCCCCAGAAGTACTACTCAGTCAAGGTTAGACGTAGCTGGGTGACCAGAGTTGGGACACTGAGACCCTCTGTCAGGCCCAGGCTGTATCACAGAGAGGTGAGACACGTATCCAGGGCCATATAATCGGGAGGGGTCACCTGCTTTATTCAGGTGCCCAGACCTTGCTCTCCATGGGGCCTCAGCTCTGTCCCGGCCTCTGTGATGGCATCTAGAGATGAAGAGGAGAGAGGGGTAGACAGAGAGACATGGGACCAGGAAAGATAGGTATGAGAAAGAAAAAAAGAGGGGAGAACGAGGAAAGCGACAGAGGCTTGGAGAAACCAGACACAGAGAGGGCAAACTAGGCCTAGAGATAGAACAGCAGTCCTCAAGGCACGACTCAGGGAGTCAGAATCCCACCCAAGGAGGTTCTGGTGCAAACTAAGGCATCCCAGGATGAGCCAGGGGCCCCTACAATCTACCCTACGCTTGCCACGGGGTTCAGACAAGCTCCTAGGCTCACTGTTCTGCTCCCGAGGGACCCCACATGAAGTGCCTCCCTCCCCCTATACCCAGCTCTTAGTTATTACCTTCTTCCAGCCCAGGGCAAAGGTCACCCCTTCAGAAGCTGTCTCTAATCCAGCCTCCTCTCGTGCACCTGTTCCGGAGGCCTCACCAGAGATTCTGGGGACAGTCACACCCTAGACGGGTGCCAACGATGTGTGTTTTCACATTGCCTGTGCGTCCCACACTCTCACGCCCTGACAACAAACAGTCCCTGTGCCAACCTCCATGCTAACATGCCACACTTGACCTGGACTCCTCGCAGCAGACAAATGCATCACACTGTTCCAGGTCCTGTCCTTAAGGCACCCAGCCTCCATCTTCCTCTGATAGCATGCTTGCCAGTGGGGGAAGGAAGTGCCCCAAGCACCAAGCACCACCATTGCTACTGTGAAAGGCCACTTAGCACCTGCCAGGACCTGACTGTGAGCCTCATCAGGGCAGGGACCTGGTCCTCCTTTCCAGGCAGGGCTGTGACTGAGCCTGGTTTAGCCATGGTTTATTTGCCCTCAATTTCGTCTATTCCTGCCCTACAAAAGAGAGATTATGCCCAGAAGCTTCCAGAACGGGATTTCCGGGCTGATGTAACTGAGCCTTTGTTGCACTTATCAGTGGCAGTGTGGCAAAGTTTCCAGCTAACCTGGAGTGGGCAGGGCTATGACTCAGGCCCTGGGAAAGGGAGGCCTTCCTGCACTCCTTGACCTCTGCCAGCCTCCTACTCATCTTCAAGTTGTTTAGTGTGGTGGTTTGCTATCGGGGACTATGGGGGTCCAGCCCCTCGATAGTCCCCTCCCAGGGTCCGGGAAGAATCTACAACCAGCTGATAATTAATCTTTGATGAGAAGAAATGAATCTATGTACACGAAACTCCTTAGTCCATATACTTTATTATTCTGTGTCAGTTACAAGCTTATATTCTGCTCTCATATTTAGGTCTTTTCTTGCCTGATTTCTCTCTACACTTGTCCGCGGTCCCCTCTGGGTTCTATCTTAATTCCTTCATCTTGTTCTGCCCCTTCTAGGTTCTCATCCATCTTGTTCCTTCCCATATCATCTTCTCTCCCATCTCTTTCTCTCTCCTCATCTCGTTCTTCCTCATCTTGGTGTTCCCCATCTGGCTCATCCTCATCTTCCATCTCATTCCTCTAGTCCTCTCTTCTAGCCCTTCAATCTAGTTCTTCCCCATCTCAGTTTGTTCCTCTCAAGTTCTTCCCCGTCTAGTTCTTCCATTCTCTTTTCTCTTCTCCGACCCCCCCGTGCCCTGGAAGTCCTGGTATATAAAGCCAGGCTTCCAGGGTCAAACGGTGATAAGAATCACATAGGGAGGCAATAACGGTTAATTATCATTTGCAACCCCAAAGGGAAGTGACCAATGGGGAAATGAATTAACTAAAGGCTGAATTCAGGTAATATCTAAGAAGAGGGCTCTTATGTGCTCAACTATAATCTTAAACGTGATTGGTAGAAAATGTTAAGAATCTATAAGTTGCTAGGTCAATGGGAGAAAGTAAAACTGTCTTCTTTTTTCTGTGGCTCCTATCTGTCCAAGCTATCTGCCGTTTTTCTGCAGGGTGGGGGAAAGTGTGCTCAGTCGCTAGGCAACCTGTGTACAGCTGGATGCCTCTGGTGATAGTTAAAGGGAGATCTGGAACTGGAGGTAAGGTTTGGGAAAGGAGGAAGTAACACTTAATTGGCACATCCGCCAGGCCTTCTCAAACAGGTAGCCTGGATGGTTAAGTCTGTTCTTAGAGAATACAGAGATATCTCTGATAAAGTACTCTCCTCCATCTGGGGATGGACCTGGCCGGATGCTGCTAATGATGATAATTACAGGGAGGCTTGAACTGGGGTTCTGGCTGAGCATAGCTGTCAGTGCAGGAGGTTATCTAAATATTCCTAGAAGTGGTTAGGTAAGGAGTTAGCGGTCTATAAAGTTAGTAAGGCTGTAAGAAAGAGGGGTCCGGGCTGAATTGTGTAAAGCTATTACTTAACGTCTACCTGACCTAGGTGGTGTCTCCTTGTGGAATTTACCAGGAGACTTGCATGTGGACTGTTATTACTGCTAGTCCTTGAAAGTGGCCAAGGGAGGTATCTGATTCCAGAGAAAGCCTTTCCTGAGGCTGTTCTCCAAATACCTGGAATGTGTATGTCCAGAGAGTGATCAGTCCACACTGTTAGCCCTTCTTAGGGAAAAGTCAATTGGGAAAACTATGAAGGCATACATGATTTTTATAACAGAATACAGCTGATATATAGCAAGCCAAGTAACACCAAAAACTCCTTGGGATTTGGCTTCCTCTGGAGGAATTTCCTGATCCCTTCAGGTAGTGACTTTGCCATAACCAGCTGAGTTCTTATGATATATTCCTGCGGCCTGCAGCAGTTTGCTGATCCAAAAAAATGCATTATGTAAAAAATATTCAAATCTTAACATCACCAAGGAGATCATAAAAGTCACCTAGGATCATATCACCAAAAAGAAAAATACAGATGTTTTCTCAGGGGACAGTATCCTTTCAGAACATTCTCTAGGTTAATTTCACTTGTCTCAGTCTCCCTAAGTTTAGTGACAGCTGCTTGGTGGCTCAGGACTGAACAAACGCCCAATTACTTGGACATTTACACTAGCCCTACTTTGGGGCTATTACAAGTAACCACACTGCAGGCAGCACACTAACAATTCTTTTCCCAAACTACTGGGTAACTCCCTCAGCAGAGCACCACCCCACCCCCAAATCAAGGAACCAAACCTATCTTAGAACACACAGTAGATGGAGTACCCTCCACCCCAACTTGAATATCAGCTGGCTCCCTCTGCTATGGACAGGCTCATACAAAACAGCC